ATACTGTGTACATTCACTTCATATGCTGCTTTGTCACTTTACTACAAATGTCATTGTCAGGGCCTTCATTTTATTTTATAGATATACTTTTTTCCATCCATCCATCCATTATCTTTACCCACTTCTTCTATTTTGGGTCACGGGGGTCGCCGGTGCCCATGTCCAGCAATCACTGTGCGAGGGGCGGGGTACACCCTGGATGGGTCGCAAGTCCATCACAGGGCCACATAGGGATAAACGAGACAAACAAACATTTACTCTCTCACTCACACCTAGGGACAATTTCGAGTTACCAATCAGCCTAACATGCATGGTTTTTTTTTTTTCTGTGGGAGGAAACCGGAGTACCCAGAGAAAACCCACCCATGCACGGAGAGAACATGCAAACTCCACCCAGAAAGGCCCCTGGACCGGGGTTTGAACCAGGGACCTGCTCTCTGAGAGGCAGCAGCTCTACCAGTTGTGCCACCGTGCTGCCTGATATACTTTTTTATATTTTTATACTGCTATACTACAATTTAGGACAGTATCATACTTTTATTATTTCCTTTTATGCTTATGTTTATTAAATGTTTTAATGTTTAATGCTTATTGATGCACCAGGGGTCTGAGAGCAATATAATTTCAATCCTGTGTATGTCCTGTACATATTGCAGTTTTGACAATAAAGTTGACTTTGATAGGTTGGGAAAATTGTACCATACCTGAGTGCTTAACCAAAAACAGATGCTTTTGAACTCCTGTGAGCATTTCAAATAATTCAGTTTGTGAAAAGAGCATTTTAATAAATATGACAACCTTTACCATGACATTGAAGCCAAAATGGGATTCCATACCTTGGACAGATTTACAATTTTTGGGAAAAATAAAAAATAAAAAACACTAAACCAGCCACTAGGAAGAACAAGCAAACACGTCTATTGATTGTGCCAGAAATGTGTCTGTTCTCAATAACTCAGTAAATCTCATAATGCTCAGATGTCCTAGTTTTCCACCAACTTTGAAAGCAGCATTACTTTTGTGAATCTGCAGCAGTAACAGTCACATTGACAGGCAAGCTGATCCATGCGCTCGTGTTGACAGATTCATCCACAGCAGGTGGTTTGTACACATGTATTTGAAAAGTAGTGTGTGCAGAATATTCCTTTTTGTGCAGTTTGAAAATTGAAAAACAGTTTATTCATTTGTGAGGTTCTCTTGTAGATCTTATTGTATGAAAACAATGCAAACAACAAATGAAGGAGATGATTGTGGATTTCAGAGGATCAAACCCCTTAGGAGGATCTGCGGTGGAAGTGGTCTCCAGCTACAAGTACTTGGGTGTGCACCTGAATGACAACCTCAGCTGGAGCAACAACACCACCAGCCTGATCAAG